AGTATGTTTAGAGGAGATTATACAATATGGGAGATTGGCCTCAGTGTGAGAGAATGACAAGGGTCTCACCAGGTATGTGTGACTGGCCTAGAACTCATTATGCAACCCAGGCTGGTCTTGAACTTGGGATATCCTGCCTCAGCCTCCCAAGTGCTGACATTACTAGTGTGTACCACAACACCTTGCTGGATCGAGGCCCTTCTAAGTGATACAGCAGAGTTTCTGAATCCACACCTTCTCCAAGTAAAGGTGCCCGGAAAAGATTTCTGCAAGCAGAGAAGAAGCCCTCCCATCGGCAGGCACCTCTAACCCTCCAGCACTGGAGAAAGTTCTGCTGTGTAAGCGTTAAGCTGATAGTATCTCCCGGGGCACACATAACTAAGACAATTGGTATCTGAAAATGTTTCATTAAAACCGGGCTTATGGTCAGAACATGCCTATAATGCCTGTACGTAGGAGACTGTGGCAGGAGGTAACAAGTTTGAAGGGAGTTTAGGATAGATTGTGACCCTGTCTCGGAAAGCCAAACATAAAGCAAAAATCAAAACAAAACTATCACTACCAAACTATCACCACCAAGAACACACTCCCCCTCCCCACCCCACCCCACCTCCGCAAGCAAATCCCTGGGCATCCACAACCTGTGAAAGGATTCATCTCTAAGTCATAAAATCTCCTGAATTTGGACTTTTCCAGAGTTTGTATTCAATTGGGAGGCCAACCTAGAGAAATGAATGCAAATTACTGTTAGACTGCAGAGTTCATAGAGAATTCTGAATAAGCTGTGGTACAGGCACTGAGGGATGGCACTGAATAACCTTTCCAGGACTGTGGGCAAAGCCCAGGAAAGCCACTTGACTAAGTAGCACATGCTGAAAGGCAGGCCTACATTTCACTTTAAAGCATCTTGTGTGTATACATGATAACAGATGGGAGGTAAATGCTTTTAATTGATGAAATTTTTGCCACATTTTAAATTGGAGGAAGGACACACTAATAAAACTGGTTTTCATTGAAGGAGCTGAGGGACCCTCCTGCCCTATTCAGACTCAGCTGAGAGTGTAAGGCAAAGCTTGTATATTATGTGTGCATAAGTATCTTAAGTAGACTCATAATAGTTAAATTATACATGAATGAGTGATAATTTGTCATATAGAAATGATATTAATGTATTATGTAAATATTTAATATGAATATATCATATGACATTTTATGTAAATGACATATATAAAGCATAAAGTTTACATTTGTATAATTTAACAGATATTTACAAATTAAAGTTCTCTGAAATAGCATTTTGTTAGCAAATAATGAAAGCAACACTAATAAGATGAAATAGCCAGCCAAAAGGTCTGCATGCCATATTTAGATCATTGGTTAGTGTATAAGTAAATTTAGCTCATTCTTCTGAAATGAGATGGTTTTCTTTTGGACTGGCAAAATAGTGTGAGAAAGAACAAATTTAGGCACAAATAGTTTTACTATTTACTGTTTAACTAATTAATTAAATGTGTATGTGTGGGTGTGCTGGAAGGACTCTGCATGTATGTAGCAGCCCTCAGAAGGCAGAGTTCAACAGATCCCCTAGGACTGGGGTTTTGGGGAGCTGTGAGCTGCCAACGTGGGTTTTGAGAACTGGACCAGATCCTCTACAAGGGCAAAATTTGCTCTTTACTTGACAGTTCCTGGCTCAACCGGGCCTGAAAGGAGTAGTGTTGAGTGGTTTTCCCACTTGCTTTCCAGTTCAGAAGAGCAGAGCATTGACGCCACGACACAGACACTGGGAACGCAGGCAGAAAGAGAAAAGTGCATTTACTTTCTATTTGCAGAAACAAATAAACAGCTTTTTAACTACGGCAAATTTTATTCAGGGACAACAAGAAGTGTTTGCTTTCTGAATGTTCTCAAACCACTGGTTGATACATACCCAACCAGAGAGAAATCAGTGAAGTCTTCAGAGGTCAGTTCCCTTACAACCTGGATCTGCTCTGAGTGTGCACAAGACTTACCTGAAGAACTGGCTAGAGTTCACATCACTCATTCATCATTCACAAGTTCTGTAATGTGTCTGTTTTAGTGTTAATTGGTATTTGTCCATTGTATGGGTACATAGTTTTCTACTTGTCTGTTGATCGTGTGACATTCTGCTTTGAGCTACCATGTGTATTGCTGGTATTGACATATGCTTTCAATTTTTGGTAAATATGAAAAAAAAATTCAAGGGTCTATTATATGAAAATACTATTTTTATCTTAAAAGTTGTAAAGTTTTGATGAAGGTGTGAAGTCAGTTTTATATCAGTAGACAAAAGGTTGGTAGAAATACTTAAAGGTCAACTGGCTAGCACTTATTGAAATTAAAAAAATTTTTTTTGTCTCGACATTGAGCCTTTGCTATACTGGAAAAATTTCTCAGTTTTTGTATGCCTCTGTTTCTCATGGGCAGAAAGAGCATGGCACTAAGTACTATGTATTTGATAGATTAATACATAATGAATGGAGGTATAGTGACCACTAAAATTAATTCATGAGAAAGGGTGGCAATATAAAAATGTTCTTGTTTTTATTCTTACTTATGAGAATATATTCAGAAATCCTTTCTCAAACATGAACAGAATATATTATTCTAAAAATAATCATAGTTAGCGTCATTGCTGCTGACATGACACCTCTCAAGTGTCAAGTGTTACTGTAGTCAATGAGACCCTCTATGCATGCATATTCTTAGGAAGACAAGTAACAGAGTAAGCATCCCAGAATCCATTGCATGGTAGAGATTAGTACTTACCCTTTTAGGAACGGGGTGGAGCTGCGCTCCCTACGTTTAGGTAGCTGAATAAGGGTTAGCAGCCTTACAGTCCATGAGGATGAATCTCTTCTTCATAGCTGTAGTTCTCATCTCCCACTTCCTTAGAACATTAAGAAGAAAAATATCTCAACTTCTCCTACTGAGGATTGAACCTATCATATGGAAGGGTGGTGGCTGTCAGGGCTTTGTTGATGCCTATAAGGAGAAAGCTACTTCTTCATGGTCAAAGAATGAAATCTGAATTCTACCTTTGGCCCTAGGTGGAGACAGGGCATTTTTATCTTCCCCAAAGAGTAGAACATGGCATCTTATTGTGTCCTCCTTTAAGAATGATTTCACATAGTCTGTCAATTACCATGTTAGGAGACCACACAGGAAAGTGATTCAGGAAAGACATGCTAAGAAGATGATAGAAAAAAAAATTTTCCTGATGGGATAGTGCACTTATTTCCTCAAAACCCCTTCCCCAATGCAGTGTTTACTTTCTCAAGACATTGAAGGAGACCCTCAAAAGAAACTTGACCTTCTTTACAGCAATTTTACCCTGCCTTTCTATCCCGGTGGGGTAGACTCTTCCCTTATCAATTGTAGTCCTGCCTGATAATGCTCAGGGTGATAAGGACCACCAAGTTCTAAGATCATAGCTTCAAACTCTACCAAAACCTCACAGACGTTTTCAGTGCAAATCATGGGCATTACTTTTCTTTTTAAGTACTTACCCATGCTCCCCATGTGTCCACCTTACTTTCTGCTGGAGTCTTCCTCTTCTCAATCCTTTTCATTAAAACTGTACTAAAAGATCCTTAATAAACTTTCCAACTCTGCCAGCTGCAGTCCTGAAAGTTTCAGTGTCAAAGATGAGAATCTAGGTTTGGTCCCTAAATCTCTTAGGGAAGTTCTCCTGCTGCTGATGGTGACATGGAGGGACTGTGACTCTTTCACTTGTGTCCTAAAGTCTCTTTCTTGAACATTGGACAAAATCCTGGGAATATTTCCCTTTCACTCTGGGCTTTGTCACTCTTTCTCGGAGGACCTCTATTTTTCTATCAAGCATCTACTTTTGGACCTTCAGTTCTGAACATAACTGGCTTTCTTGAACCCTAACTCAAAAATGCTGAAGAACTGAGGAGGCAGCCTCAGTTTGATGGGCAAGAATGAGGACCAGAGTTGGAGTGTCAGAACTCACAGGATGATAGTTCTGGTCGGATATGGCTGCCTCTTTCTAATTCAGTAACAGGAGCCCCAGAGCAAGCTGGTCAGCCTGGCCAAATCCCCTAGCTCTGGGTTTGACTGAGAAACCTGGTCTCAAGGAATAAGCTGAAAAAGTGATCAAGGGGGAATCCCAATACCAACCTTGGGTCTCTACATGCATCTTTGTACATGTGCAAAACATGCATATGCAGCACACACACACACACACACACACACAGAGAGAGAGAGAGAGAGAGAGAGAGAGAGACAGAGAGACAGAGAGGATAGCTTCTTCTTCTGGCAGCTACCCAAATGTACGGTGGTTGCTTTTTGCTCAAGCTTTAGTGACACGAGGTTTCTTCAGAGTCCATTTTCAAACTCCTTTATTATTAAGACTGAGAATCACAAAAGGTTTTCCACAACAACTATAATAGAAGAACATGAGTAAAAAGCATTGTACGTCCATCAGATGTTATGTAGGGAAGGCAGAGAAGCAGGGTACACAAGATCCATACAATTAGGTATAAATATAAATGTCCAAATAGATGTTGGTTATGTCTCCATTTTCCAATTTCAGAAAGACAATATTTAAGCACATTTTTATTTCTAGATTACTTTTCTTAGTTTTAAACACAAATGCAAATTTTAGTATATAAACTGGTTGACTCAACAATAAAGTAAAAGTTAAAAAATGAAATTTTTTTTTTTTACTTTGAATTATTCATTTCAGTTTGTTATTCTAGGGAATTCTTTCCTATGGTTCTATACATAGAATATAACACAAATTTAAGTTTCTTTGGAAAGTCTGCTGTGACTGGCAATAGCATGTGGTTGATATTTTACTCTACACTGAAAAGACTTACAGTGAAGGAGCAGGGCAGGCATGCATGCGTACGGTAGCATGCACATTTGGTTTCTGTGCCTCTGCATTTCCTTTTAGGAGAAAGGACCCATTCCTCCACAAGCCATCCAAATCATTTTATGAATAAACATTCAGGCTCTTAAATAACATATCTCATCTAGTGTGGAAATACCACAACAGAGCTGATGCGCATGCAAGGAGAAATAAAAAGGTAGACAGCACTGGAGTGGAGCTGACAGTCTACCTCTCTAACTCAGGTGCGGTATAACAAGTAACCACTAAATGTGGTCACGGGGGGATATTTGATCGGAATTATCCCTTTTACAAGACGCAGCCACACTTCCTGCCCATAGTTTAATTCAAATAAGGCATCCCCAGTCAAAACTCTGTCACAGTGTATTTCATTGTCAGTATTTTCAGACTCAAATCTCAGCTTGTCTACTCCATCAACCACTAAAAACCCCGAGATATGAGGACTGAATGACTCAATAGTGTATTTGAAGATGTACACTCCAAGGTACGGAATTCTGAACTTGCCAGTTCTTGGGTTATATGAAGCTCCATAATTAACACTTAGATCGTTGAACAGGATAGGACCAGGTGCTGTCATTCCATGAGTGTGAGATACAAAAAACGCCACCATCGGAGCATATCTGTAAGATCCTTTGGAAAAATCTGTTCAAAGAAAAACATGGCATGAGTTATTTTTCAGGTTCTTATCTTGTTTTTCTTCCTAAGGTCTCATTTTATCTCGGCCACACAGTCCTAACAGAAGCACAAAGCTCTCTATAAACCGAACAATGTCCGTGTGTTGGAGTGCCCACCTCCACTGTGAGCTAGAGAGTATAAAAACACCAGTTTTCTGGAGCCCCAGTTTCTCCATGCTGATTAGGTCCATTGTGAGGTCAGGCAACTCTCTTGTAGATATGTCTGCAGGGTCATTTGCATACTGCTTAGCACTCCCTAGAGATAAAGGAATTCAAAGTACTGCATGGTTATTATGGGATACCAGAATGCCCTGCATTCTGAACGGAAGCTTCTAGGATGGAGAGACAAGTTTTCATGATAATTTCTAGAGGCTGAGACTGAGGTGAAACAGTGCCACACTACCAAGGAGAAGCAGGCAAAAGTGATTTTCTGTGTAGTGAATGTCGCATACGCTTCGGAAAGATTAAAAATGGACTAAAATGTACTCTTGAATTCAGGAAATAGGGAAGGCCTGATTTGAAATATTCTGTGACCACTGAAGATAATGTATTTTAAATGCTGCACATGTTTTCTTGTTTAAAAGCCAGAAATACTGCGTTAAAATTTGTTATTATTGTATGTATAGAGTGTGTGTGTGTGTGTAGGACACAGGACAACTTTCGGGAGCTAATTCTCCCCTTTCCCCGTGGGATGTGAGCATCAAACTCGGGTGTCAGCTCCCTCCAGTACCTTTCCAGCTGAGTAGCCTCAGGGCCAGGTGCTACCCTCTCACAGTACGTGTGCAACACTGCCAGTCGACAGAAGTGAAGACAACACACACATCAGGCTAAGAGCACAGACGGCCGTTGACAAATTCCAGCGCGTGTTTGCACGACACTGAGAAGCATAAGAAGGTGACGCTTGTACCTGGTGCCACGGCATTTTCTTCCACGATCTTCACAGTGCAGGCGTCACCCATAAAAGGGTGCCGGCAAGCGCAGATGAAACTGGTTCTCACACTGATGCAAGTGCCGCCATTCTGGCATGGGAAGCTGCTGCAGCTGGAATATTCCTGCGCTACTGAAAAATAAAAAAAAAAACCTCACAGCAAAAAGGGATAACCTATTTTTGTCTCATACCGGAGTTGTGCAGCAGGATAACCGAAATGCTGAATTTGAAAATGCATCTTTAGACCGAAGCCACTCACTAGTGTCAGCATGGGACTTCATACAAATCCCTTATCTCTGACTTAGAACTTTATGCAAAACCCTCATATCTGACCCCATTTCGTGACACAAGGATAATTTTGCGATGAAGTGTATGTGAGTATATTAAACTTTTGCTTAATTTTGAACAGATAGTCCAAATACAGGACTACGTATATTTGAACTAGGAAAAAAACAAGGGTTAAGGTTTCAAATCATTAGAGCAGAACGGCATTTTTAAACTTTTCTTAAGGATGTGTTATTATTTAATACACTTCTGCGTTTACACGCACTCCTGAGTGAAGTTACTAGCGCATGTTTATGCAGATTCCCGTTCATGCCACCAGAGGGGTTTGGTTTCTCTGGAACCGGAGTTTTGAGCTGCTCGGTGCGGGTGCTGGGAACAAACCCATTGTTTGCTCTTATCCCCTGAGCCATTCTTCCAGCTCTACCTTTTAAACACTAAGATAAACAAAACAACAACAACAAAACAAAAAAACCTCTCATGATTGGTCACCTTATTTTGAAAATTAAAATTTTAATGAGTGAAAACTGAAGAAAAACATCTTAACACACAAATTTAGTGACTCGCATTTATTGCTCACAGAAGCTTCTGCTGATCACACACAATATTTCCACTAAAAAAAAAAAAAAAAACGGAAAATGGTCGATGATGTGAGCCAACAACTCTCTGCAGCTTTTTAAACATCCTCAGTATTTCTATGGATTCCAGGACTTACTGCTATAAAGTCATAGTAAATTCAGCCACAATGAGAGCATGCTTATGTCAGGCAGCAACATTTTAAAAAGACAAATTATTCAGATACCATGGTGAGACAGAAAGCGGAATTTAAAAATGCTGATTGATGATTAAATAGCCATTCCTTTTAATTGGACAATTTGGCCATACGCACCAGCATTAAAGGACTCATTTACTTAGATCCATACTTTTTTTCCTTGGAAAATATGCATATGCTGGACACCTGTTTCTATGTATATAAAGATCACTGCTCAAAGGTGCATTTTATAATATTATTTTCATTTTTAATTTATTTTTATCTCAAATATTAACAGATTAATAGCCAGTGATTCAGCTTTGTCAAACACATCACAGTATAATGCTACAAAACAAAACAAAACAAAACACAACAAAGAACCAAACAGAAGAAATACAAACTGCTTAAGAATGTAGCAGAGTGTCGTCACACTTAGTGTCCTGTTGGGAAGTAATAGTTTGTGCATTACACATTACATAATTTTTCTAGAACTTCTAGTTAAAATAGCAGTTATAAATATTGTGCAAAGTTATGTAAATTCAGAAAAAATGCTGGAAGAATCCTTTACTTGCCACAGTTACTGTATGGCACCACCTTGTGGCAATAATGTAAATTTAGAACTCACTCATTTCAAATTTTGTAATTGTAGGTCACTTAACTTTCAGATCACGCATAGCCCCGCCCTGTCTTTATGTATAACGACTGGACTCCACATATGAGGAAAATTGCATTTGTTCGAGTCTCGCTTATTTCATGCACCATGATGACATCAAGTTCCATTTAGCTTTCTACATGTGAACTATGGTATTTTTATCATTATTTACAATTGAATAAACTTTTACTGCATGTATGCAAAACCACTTTTCCTGAGTAAGTGTGTTATTGCCCGCATGTGTGTGCATGTTCAGGTCAGAGGTTGGCGTCCTGTATATTCCCTGATCATTCTCCATCTGATTTTTTGACACGGTCTTTATTTAAACTTGTGTCTCATTGACTTGGCTACTTTGGCTGGCCAGTGAGTCCCACACTCTTCATGCCTCCACCTCCCCGATTCTGAGATTGCAAACACAGGCTGCCATGCCAGGAATCTGAACTCAGTCCTCATGCTTGTGTGGCAGGCACTTTATCTACTGAGCCACATCCATTGCAGACAAGATATTGTGTTTTTGTTTGTTTGTTTGTTTGATCTATTAAACTATTGATGAGCAGGTCAGCAGATTCTATATCTTGGCTAGTGTGGATAGCTAATAAACACGGATGCACACACACATGCACACAGATATACAGATAAGCACAAACCCCACAGATACGTGTGCATACATGCATGTACATGTGGACATACATAGACAAAAGCCAAGTGCATGTCGATACATATACAACTACAAGTGGATACATCCACACACATAAAATACATGTACAAAATGCACGTGCATGTCTACACATGCATGCGTATACTTTGCACACATCCAGATGCACTCATGCATACAGACATAAATGCACACATACACACAACAGATGTACACACAAAGTCAGATAGAAATATGTGACAAAGCACAGGTCCACGGGAATTTTAAATGTATTAACACAGAACTTTGCTAGATTTGAGGGAGTATCAGGAAAGGGAACAACAAAACCTCTATAAAACACAACCAGGAGTTGTATAGCTGAATGAAATGAAGGACCTCTATATCTAGTTTTTAAAATTGGGTGATCTGTTTTGTTTAATACTTGCTTTATGTATCTGTATATTCTCTGTTTCTAAGTGTGTATTAGCAATTCATTAAAAATATGGGCAATCTTCATGCTTTTATTATTTATTTAAATAATAAAAATATTATTTAATGTTTTTAAAGAGAATATATTTGTATGTTCCTTGAAAATTCCAAAATAATTTAAATTTCTGTGACATACTCTTTATAAGCTACATCTCTCATCTAGAAAAGTATTCAAAGAGCTTAGGTAATATATGTCATATATTTATACATATTACATGCAATATATTTGAAGAAGTGTTGTAAGTGGGCTTGCATTTCTGGAATACGTTTGCCCCTTGACTCAAGCTATCAAGCATTTCATTTGCAGTTAGCTTTTCTTCTAGAACTTAGCCTACCATTTGCTAGCTTGTAAACTACCTGGGAGTCTCCATTACTTGTTGGAATGTGAATTCTTAACTGCAAAGCACTAGCTCCATTGTCCTTCCATTCTCCAACCTAGCACCTCTACCATTCTAACTTTCTCAGATGAGAAAATCAATCCCACTTATAAACTCGGCCTGTGAAGACATCAAACCTACTCCAGGGAGAAAAAATAAAAAATCAAGACTCTGCCAAATGGTGGCTTTCTCTCCATTGCCACTGATTCTTCTTACTTCTGCTTGGTGTTCAGCATCTAATGTGCACTCAGCTGTCCTCTTTCTGTCCCATTGCTTCCTGTGATCGAGTCTTGCTTTGCTTAGCAGAACGTGTCACCTACCCTTCATCTCAATCTTTCTGTGGAGTCACTAATCTGCAAGAACTGTTCACTTGTGTCTAGTTGCAGGAGTCTAAACTTCTTGTGATCACACAATCCCCTACTAGACTCCTGCCTCGTGCCTCCTAATCATCTACCAAGGATGTCTCATGGCTGTCTGCATGTTTCCATAGTTTCTCTTTTCAGTTGCATTCCTTGCCTCAATTGCTTCTTAAGGTATTTCTGGCCTTCAAATTGTGGACACAGTAACTCTCATTTTAACATGTAATATCCATGACACATAGTACTGGACACCTTTTGCCAGTTGAGTCTTGGTGATAGAGACTACAGTGACAATTGCTACTTGCCCCTTCTGAAGAGACTGCATATTTCTTCCCACGGAAAACAAGTCACAGGCTTACGTAGCTTGGCATCTGTCTCAGACTTTGTCATAACAGCTCACCTGTGCTCTGACGTTATTCGAGGGCTCTAAAGCTCTACATTAATTTGTTCCAACATGTGTTTATGGGTAGTACTGACTTGCCAACTCTGTCCATAGAAACCAAGCCATGCCTTGTTTCATTTTGTATGAATGAGTGAGCACCTCATCCCAGCTTTGATTGCATTTTAACATTTATGCTGTGTGTTTATCCAATCAATGCTGAAACATGTCATGACTCCCTGTCAGGTATGTGGCCTCACTGACAGGCAAGCATGGTTGATAACAGTATGACAATTGGAGCTATATATAGCTTGCTACAATTCAACTTTCCTACATCCTATGTATACTTTTAAAATGGTTAGGTCTTTACTAAGCAATTTCTGGAATTAACATAAAATGAACTCCAATAAAATAATTTTGTCATCTTCCCTCATCTCCGATGCTATAGTTCCCTTCACTGTCTGAATTGTTGTTGGATGTTGTATGTATCCCTTACAGAACTTATCACACTCGACTCTAGGCCCTCATGTGTCTTTAGTTTCATGAATGTCACTTTATGATGTCAGGGCTCAGTGTACTCCTTAAACACACCACTCTGAATTCACATAGTGTGTGACATGTACAAAATGGCAAAGCTTTAAAGGATGAATGGACAAGTTCATGAAAGTTTGATTTGCTGGTTAGCTCCTTATCCAAATTCTGTCTTCACAGTCCCACAAAGTCACACAGGATGTGCGGAAGATCATCACAACTCAACATTCTGCTATGTTGTGCAAGATGAATGGCTAATGTATCAGTGCCAATTTCCTACATGGAACTTGACTAAAATTAATTTTCTATTGTCTTGGCATAGCTGGGGAATCTCAATTTGTTCCAGTCTCTGCATTTTGCACTCTAATATGTACTCCATTTGCAGTTTCCTCTTCATCCTATTATTACATTTCACAAAGGTCTGTGGTGGTTTGAACACATTACAGAGCTCCTTCCATTTCAGAGCACCTTACCTTTATGAACACTTGCCATTTATGGCTGTAACTGTGTGCTCCATGTGTGAGGTGCATGAAGATGAGCACTGACTTCAGTCTACACACCATCCACTTAGTCTTTCTCAGTACTCAGTCAGAACTCATTCAGTAGGAATTATTATTCTTATTTTTATTTATTACATATGCAATAGACTGTGTAAATTGTAAAACTTATTATTCATAAAAGAAAAATTATTATTTCTTTACTTTATGATTTTATTATTTACTTCTGTTTTAGCATCAGTAGTTCTTCATTTAAGCCAGAAGTTCTCAACCTGTGGGTTGTGACCCCTTTGCGAATCTAACGACACTTTCAAGGGGGTTGCATATCAGTTTTCCTGCATATCTAATATTTACATTACAATTCATAACTAGCAAAATTATAGTCATGAAGTAGCAACAAAAAATAAAAAAAAACTTTATGGTTGGAGGTCCCACAGGATGAGGAACTATATTATAGGGCCTCAGCATTAGGATGGTTGAGAACTACCAATCTTAACAATAACATTACAAAGCGACTGTGATTGCTGCTCGTGGCACAGTGGAGTTTCACAGGGATTAGCGAGGGGCCTGCCCTGCTGCCTTTGAGTATCCTGACAACACACAGACAGAAGCAACCTGCCGTTCTCTGTGCAGCTTTGCTGCTAGTTGCTGCTCTCACACTCTCCTTTTCTTTATGTTTCATCCTGATTCCACTGACAAAACCCTTCCGCTCTCGTACATGTGAGCATATTTCAGGGCCATTCTGCTTCCCCGTTTATTACATAAGATTTGAGCTTGCATTACTGTAGGAATATTTTACATTCCCTTACTGACAAGTCTTGAAAGTGTCCAGATGTATGTTTACATTTAGTGTTCAAATTTATTCTATTTGCCCACATTGTGTTCACTAACGTATAAAAGCATAGAACTACTCTTAGTTGCCTTTGTTGCTTTTCCACAAAATGTTAATTTTTATAATTATTTTCTTTTACATCACATCTTTTGTTCTTGATAACAAGAATAAAGTTTTTGTAACCCTTTGAATGTTGTTTTAAAGAACATTTACTTATATCTGCAATCTGTGTCAAATATATCACTCATGCCTCAGAAGATCTATTCTAACTTTTGATGAAACTATTCTATTCTCTTAAGCTATGAACTAGAAAATTAGATGTTTCATCTGAGAGTACCAATATTTTTTTCTTTAGCCTCGTAACCTTCAATCAAAATAATTGGAAGTACTCTCCGCAAATATGTCAAAACAGTGTCTGACATCCCAAGCCACAAAAAAGATGCAAAATAAACAGGAAGCATTTTTCATCAGTATTTGCTACACTTCCTGTTCCTGACCTTGCCTCTCTTTTGGAACACATGGTTACTTGCATTTTCAACTGGTTTATTTTTAACACACCAAGAATTTTAAAGAAATATTTGTCTGCTAATGCTTCTCAAGTCTAAGTCAAAGAAGATGAAATTTTATTTATTGACAATGAGTTCTAAACTCAATCAGCCTCATAACTGAAGTGCCTTAAAGTTAGTCATTTTATAAAGAGGTCATCTTTGTCAAAGATACCTTACTTAAGGTGTACTTAAAAATCTTATTTTAAGTAATATAGAAAGTCATGTAAATAAAAATTTCTCTTAAAGGAAGCTATCCTTCAAAGACTTTGCAGAGGGCTGAGAATGTGGTTAGCCAATTGCTATACAAACAAAGCTTCAAATATAAAATTAAAACAAAATCCAAAAATCTCTGATATCTATTTGAGTATTGTTTAGAAACAAATCCAGGATTTAACAACTAAGCTAGAATAACTTCTTGGCATTGGTCTGGTAGATACCATAATTAGCATAACTGAATGCAGGCTTTGTGTTTCACTACATCAGGTAAAGGCAGCTTTCATGAATAACTCATTAGACTTTGATAGCTGCCTGTGGCCAGGTCACAGGAAAGTCAAACTGAAATCAGTACCTTGACTTCAGCAGCATCATTGCAGGACTTGACTGTTAGGCTTTAAATCCTTGATAAAGGGACTCCCTGGAATATCAACTTTGACCACATGAAATGAGCAGTCAGCCATGCTCTGAGCAGCATGGGATGCAGGGGAGAGAGCAGAAGGAAGACACATGAATATAGTGCCCTATCTCTGCAGGTAAGAACTGAGGATAGACCCTAAAATAGTAGATTAGGGCACATGATAGCTGGAGGAAACGTTGGTTAATCTCTCTGACTATTCCTGGTTCTTCAAAGTATAATGATAATACCTGTCTTGTAGGTATTGTTGAATGAAGAAATGTTATCTAGTACTTCTACAAGGCCTAGAGTGAATGAATATTAGTAAATAACATATAAAATAGCATAGTATTAGTGACAGGCCTCAAAGAGCGTATCATTTACTAAAATTAAAACTGATATACAGATTATTCTCTAAAAAACAGTTTGTAAGTATTGCTAAAATATGAATAATATGACAAAGACGTTCCGGAGAAATGATTGTATTACCCCCTGATTTTAGTTATATGGAAGAAAATGTAGCTCTAGTTTCTACCCTATACAATCAAAACTCAAAGGGCATAACAAAATTTGTTACTACTTGATCTTTTGATTAAGTTCAACTGTAAAGGACAGGGCTGAATTTAGCAAATGTACTGGATGGTGTGTAGCACAACTGATATAAAAGTGTATCAGATGAAGCATTTTATTTTATAAGGACTTTATTTATTTATTTCCATTTATAACTGTTGTGTCTGTGTGTCTCCATGTGTGTGTGCAGAATACACATGCTTTTGTGTGTGTAGTTGTATAATCTGAGTACTGTGACTGAGCCACGTGTTGGTGTCAGATGTCTTTCTCAATGGCTCTCAGTCATACTCTTTGAGACAGGGTCGCTTCACTGAACCTGGATCTCAACAGTTCTGCTCGATTGGTTGGCCAGTGAGCTCCAGAAACCTGTCTGCCTCTGGTCCACTGTGTTGGAGCTACAGATTTTCACAGCCATGCCTGGCATTTTCTGTGGGCGCTGAGGCTCTGTCTACACTCAAGCAGACACCTTACCCTCTGAGACATGTCTCCAGCTCCTCGGGTGCTGTAGGCAGCATGCCTGATTTCATTACCTTCTGTAGCCCTTGCTTGCTCTACCAGTTTATAGGTACAAAGCATCAGGATCACGTGAATGGATGAGCAGGTACACATCTACTTGGAAGGACCCATACCTTAAAAAGTGAATTCACTTGAAACTGCTTTCTACAGTGCACTTGGAATTGGGCCAAGCCCTCCTTATTGTCTTGGCATCATTATTGGTGTCTTAACTGAGATGTAATAAAGGAATTTTAATTATTAAATTTGATAAATAAGACTATAAAATTTGACAGATAAGTAAATAAAAAAAAGTAAATAAAAAGGAAGGAATTTTGCCAAGGCACTATCAGAAAAACAAAAATCAAAGCTATGCTATTTCCTATCATCCCTTTAATTCAGTTACCAAGTCAATCACTCACGTGAGAGCAATTGGCAACATCTGTGTAGCCTTGGCTGTAGTGGACTTGCTTTATAGACCAGTCTGGCCTCGAACTCATAGAGATCTGCCTGCCCCTGCCTCTCTGAGTGCTGGGATTACAGACGTGTGTCATCATGCCTGGCTCATTGCTCTGAGTGTTCAAATATATCTCTATATCTCACTCTTCACAAAATGGTATCTAAGTGCAGGTCCCCCCAACCTGTATTCATGGCTTTCTGTGGTCTATTCTAACCAGATTCCAGAATAGTTCTTTGAGGCAGTCATTTGGGGTGTATATATATATATATATATATATATATATATATATATATATATA